TTCTTATTACTTATATTTTTTATGATTTTTTTAAATTTACAATGTCAGAAAAATTAGTATAAATCAGAGAAAAATATTGGCCGAATGCAAATTTCTAAACAATTTCAAAAAATCAAATAAAATATAAGCAGAAACACTTTTGAAAATAATTTTGTGCAGTTACTATTAGTTTTGTTTAGAGAAACTTTAAGCTTAAAAAAAATTAATTTTCAAGACGTGGAAAAAAATTTAAGAAGTAGATTTTTACAAAAACTCGTAATTTTTAATAAGTACTGAATGGGTTAAAAAAGGTATTGTATCATTCAAACGAAATTTAAATGATGACAAAATGTACCTGAAGTAAGTTCAAATTATGAGAAAATTTAACTTTTGTTTTGTGTAAATACTTTTGACCACCCCGTTACATTGTTTTTTTAAATTAATTAATTATCAAAATTAAGACGAAATGCTTTTGATTTTGTTTTTTAAAAACAAGTGATTTTGAAATAGAGATAAAAGAATCTCAGAATCATCTCAGAATTTTTGATCCTAAAGCTTGTTAGCATGCCTAAACTTATTTTAAATAGATTTTTGTTTTGGTAATTCTTGCAAAATGATAAATTTTTGAATTTGTTTTTACAATTTCTTCGTTTATTTCAACTCTACAATAACATTTTTAAAATCGTAATAAAGCTTTTAAATGGTTATCACATAGGACTTCCAATACTCCTTAACCGCGGAAGTTGTTGACCTTACGGTACTGGGACGGACCCTGGTTGTACTGCTGCTCCACGTACTGGGGGTGGGTGCGGATGTACTCCAAGGACTTCAGGATGGCAACTGGGATTGGGGGAGGAGTGGGCAGGAGGGCTCCCTGGGGCTGGAATCCGTTCTCATCAGCGACGTACTGGATCTGGACCAGCTCTCCCTCGGGCGAGTAGTACGAGTAGCCTCCGTTGACCTGGTGACCTCCAAGTCCGGACTCCTGGGCGGCGATTCCGTTGCTGGTCTCGTAGGCGTAGTCGTAGTGACCATCGGGCCGAATATCGGCACCACTCTTGGTGATGTAGGCACCAGCATCCTGGCTGTAGGAGGCAGCGGCGTAGGCGCAGGCCAAGAAAGCGGAGGCAACGAGCATCTATTCACAAAAATAAGATTTTATAACAATGATTTTAAAATTAAATCCATTTAAAGATTTTTAAAAATATCTCAAAACATGTTTTTTAGGTTTTTAAGTTATTAATAAATATCTTTTTGACTTACGTAGCGGAACATCTTTGCTGGTTTGGAGTGTGTGTCTAAGACTGAGAGACGACTCTGAATGGTGACTTTCTTGCAGATTTGCAACGTTTTTATACGAATTCTCGATGAAGCCAGATCCACCCAAACAACTTTTACGGCCGACTGCAGGAAACTTACCTAAATAACAATAAAACTAGTCGAAGTTGGATAAACTAGACCGCTAAGAGCGGGTAAAGAGCTAAAGAGCCAAAAATCGACTCTTCGAATTTGCAATCCAGCTGTGGGCACACGCCTACAACTGCGGTAAAAATATTAGCTTTATTATTATATATGTTTTGTTAATATTTGTATTTATAAGTTATGTTTTTTTAAGGGATGAAAGTTACATTTTTCAATTTTGTAATGAACAAAAAAATAAATAGAAGTAGATTTGACTTACCCTTTTTATTGAATTATAAATAATTTTTTTTAATACAATTTGTTTAATAATAAGACAACTCATATATGTCAATAATTACATATACACAGAATTTTTGTTAAGCCTAAAATTAATATGTTAATAATATTTAACTTGCAGCAATTTATTTTTAATGAATTAATTAAACGCTTGAGTGAAACTTACGGAAACTCCGGCACATAAGCTTTTTGTTCGGTTTGTTTTTACTTTTTAATTTTTTTTGCTAATGCCTTGTTGCACATCAGACCTAAAAACGCGACCTCAGCTGTGAGTGCGGGTATTGCAAAGAGTAAAAGCTAATATGATCACCGCATGCGGCAATGTCAATGTCGCAGCTAGTTTCTGGTTCAAAATTCAGTTTTAGGCGGCACACCCAAAATGGCAGTCTTAATTAAATGCATTTGAAACAGACGAGTCTCAATACGATTTTAGCATAATTTATGGTTCCACTCCGGTCTGTTCAATGCCTAACTTTTCCAGTTCAAACCGTCGAACCCTTCCTTCACCTTACTCATTTGTAATCTTTGACTTCGAGGCGATGAAATGTGTGCGTTTAACAAATTGGGCCATAAAAGTGAGTTAATGCTTAACTGATACGCGAAGTGAGATATCAAACTGGATTAACCCGTTGCCAGCCGCGCCTAATCCGCCTTATCCAAACACTACAAAACGTCTCGTGTCACCAGCGGCACCTCTAATGCGATTTTTCCAAATTCATATTCTAGCACGGTGGTATGCAGCCTGTTTTTAAATCATTGAGAAGCTTAAAAATTAATTATGTTAATCAATAACAGCCGGCTTTATATCTAATTCTTAAAGAAACCATTAGAGTAAACAGTGTGCTATTTGATAAAAATGAATCAAATTTCGAAACTTGATTTTATTGCGAAACTATTTTGTATGTACGATATTTAAAAGATAAGAAAATTAAATTTTTAAATTTATATATATTAAAAAAAATATTTTATAAGCCTGTCCAGAAATGCTTTTTTATTATTTTTTATAGATCTTAAGGAATTTTTTTATCTTCTGTTTTTAATCCACTGTGTTGATAGTTTTTATTTTAAATAAATCTACTTGGGTGGCCTTGAGAAAATGTCCATACGATGAGAACACAATGGCCATAAAACTGATCTTTATGACAACCACTGAAAGTGAAATCATCCGTATGCTTGATAGGAAATGCTAATGTTCGGAGATGTGGGTTTCGGTAACATGGTAACATGTCAAAGGCTTTGAAAAGATTTATTGATTTGCCGATTTATACGCAAAATCTGTGTTAATTTCTGAGAACAGATTGTACATGGATTTCGTATGTTATTTGCTGTCGTCACTAACTCGGGGATTTCCCAAAATTTTTCTCATAATTATGCATATTCCGGAGATTCGATTATGGTTATTAATTTAATGCCACTAATTATAGCCATTTTATTGGGACTACCATATTAAGTGTGGCTTAAGAGTGATTGGATCTACCTCAACCTTCCAGCATTGACGGACCAGCGAATAAATTTAAATAAATCATACTTAAATAGTTTTAAATCATTTGCATTAACTGAAAGTTGTAAGTCCATTCAGACGAGATGCCAAAAATAGAAATAATCCTCCAAAGGTACTCTTAAACTCACAAAACGTTTAAAATCCCAATTCGAGGTTCCCATATTATGACATTTGATATATTTGAATGACAACCTGATATCGATTATCTTTTGTGCTCTGCCTCGATCTAGATATTTAAAAAGATGCACCTTCCGATCGGTCAGCAACACCTTAAGCATAAACGAGTTCCAAATATGATATTATTTTTAGACCTTTTTTTTTCATTTTTTTTCCTCCTTTTCATCAATAAACAAATTGGTTTTGCTTAGAGCTACGCGTCAATGGCTTCGGCGGCTTCAATATTTCACACCGATTCTGGGCTATTGATATGCATATAATCGTATATAATCTCTCTGGTTTCGATTTGGTTATATGCAGATGAGGCGTCAATATTGGTGCAAGTTTTGTCTACCAAATCGATACGAATTTTAAATTTATTTTTCCCATGCCAATCTTCACTAAAGTGTATCATATTACTAATTAGAATTGGGTATGTTACAGTTTCCAAAGCCATATCTTTATATACCCTTTATAAGAATAAGCTATTTATATTTCAAATTTGTATTTAAGATTTTGGAACAGCGTATTATTTGTTTTTATACTAAATATTATGTAAACTTTTAAATATATATATATATATTTTAATGTAGAGGTAAGCCAAAAAAGTATTTTAGGGCGCAGCCAAGCGTTATAAAATAATTTAACATTGTTACTTAACTTTAGCCGCCATATTTATATTATTTTTGAATAACTAGGTCGAAGTATGTATATACAATTAACATGTTTTATATCCTAGCAGAGAGTTTCATAATTTGGTTTCAGCCTTAAAATATATTCAAATGTTAAAAAATTAAGCTAACATATTCGAGAAACTGGCATGTGTCCAAACATGAAGACTTCATCGATTAGCGTATTAAATTAAATGCAAATTAATTGGACTGAACTCGTGTGCTTATTAACTCGACTGAAACTTATACAAATATTGCCAAATATGCCATATTGACTTTTAGCATTATCCCATAACCTGTTGGCCTTCCGGGATGTGTTCTCCTATAGTCAGTAAACATTTTTATGGTTTCGACGGTGAATTGTGATATTATTAATGTAGTTTTCCAAAACTTAACTGGCATTTAATTTATGGGACTCTTAATTTATAGATGACTTTATGCACTCTCCAGAATGCCTTTTGAAAGTGTTTACGTTTAAAGCCACATCTTTTTCTCAATCTCTTAAAAATGTGTCGCAATTCGTAACTTATGGGACACACTCCCAAAAACACCTTTTTATGAATGAACATCAGCCAGCACGAGCTTCTTACCAAATCATATCTGTACAAAAATCGTAATCGAGAAAATCATCAAAGTTGATTTCCAAATTTTGGATGTGAACCCTGACTATTTTAACTTAAACTGCTACTTTTTACATTAAACTTATGATTATTAAATTTAATATGTGTTAAATAAATGAATTGAAGATTTCATTCAGTACACTCTTTATTTATTGTCAGTGGCAAGATTATTGAAAATACTTTTGAAGTCTGCACGAAATTTAAGCAAAGCAAAATTTAACAAAAGGATAATAGGGTTATCGTAATCATACTGGACACGCCTGCCAAATTTCCAAGTGAGCAACATAATTAACATATTTAACTTTTTCTATGTTTTTATATATTCTTTTATTATTCTGCGTAAATTTGAAATTAATTTTGAATTCAAATTTTAGCGGTTAAAAATAGTCCCGCAACATTCCGCCAGAGGGCGCTGTGCCCGAACAGCTGTGTCTCTGCTTCTTCTTTGGCATTCACACGCCCGCGTATTTCGTGCCATCTCGCTCGCACTTGCGCAGACCAAAACGAGGCGAAAATAAATTGTACAATTTAATTTAAATTTGACTAAATCGCAAGCACAGAGCACAGAATGTTGGCCCACAGGATGCAGCTTTGGAGGACAACGAATGCGGCGATGGCCCTAAGCTCCGCAGCCAGCCGTTATCCTCAACAGGTGAGTAAAAATCGGTGGAAAACAGCCGGCGATCTGTGACATAACCTGCAAGTGGCCAATGTTTGAGTTCTTAAATTTACCCGAAATTCAATGAAAACATTGTGTTTTAGGGTACCACGACGGGCAGAAGAGATATCCACCTGCAGCGGATGTCCAGGGGCAGCAGTTTGCCCTTGGCGGCCACCGGGAAATGGTCAAATCCCTGCCAGCTGCGTTTCGCCAGCAGTGGAGCAGCTGCAGCGGGAGTTTCGGCCACAAAGGGTGAGGAATTCATGCAGGCGGTGTCCAAAACGGAACTGGTTGATCTACCCGACATACCAGCTGCCCCAGTGCCTCCACCCGTCGACGGTTTGAGTGTAATGGACGTGGTCAATGTGTCTGGAGAACCCTCCTTCGCCTCCATTGGTCTAGGCGGCTGGTCGCCTGTGGGCCTTGTCCAGAATTGCATGGAGTTCCTGCACTGCACCTGGGAAATCCCCTGGTGGGGAGCCATCGCCATGGGAACCCTCGCCGTGCGAACCATTATATTCCCATTGGTCATATTGGCCCAAAGGAACTCCGCCAAGATGAACAACAACATGCCGCAGATGCAGATGCTCCAGCTGAAGATGACCGAAGCCAGACAGTCGGGAAATGCCATTGAATCCGCTCGATATGCCCAGGAAATGATGCTGTTCATGCGGGAAAAGGGCGTCAATCCTCTCAAGAACATGCTGGTGCCATTGGCGCAGGCCCCGCTCTTCATTAGCTTCTTCATGGGATTGCGCCAGATGGCCAATGCCCCAGTGGAATCCATGCGGGATGGTGGGCTCTTTTGGTTCACCGATCTCACCTTGGCAGATCCATATTACCTGCTGCCCATGATCACCAGTGCCACCTTGTACCTGACCATTGAAATCGGCACGGATTCGGCGCGTTTATCAGCCGCCAATATGAACACCATGAAATATGTGCTGAGAGCCCTGCCCATCGTAATCTTCCCCTTTACGATGAACTTCCCCGCCGCCATTTTGACCTACTGGGCCTGCAGCAACTTTATTTCGCTGGGACAGGTGGCTTTGCTGAGGATTCCCTCCGTGAGGGACTACTTTAAGATCGAGAAAATGCTGACCCATGCGCCGAGTGCACTGCCGCCCAAGAAGGGATTCGTCGGAGGCATGAAGGAGTGTAAGTACAGAGGATTAGCCGCTCTACATATCAGATTTTCCGATCTTGATACTTTCTAATTCCCTTTCCAGCCTGGGACAACATGAAGATCTCTAAAGAAATCGAGGAGCGGCAGCGCCTGGACGAGATTCGATTCGCCAAGGCCGGCAAGGGGCCGCTGGTGAAGACCTACAAGTTCGATCCAACGAAAGCGAGCAAAACCATCTCCGCGGAGCCACACATGCGGCTAAAGGAGCCGCCAAACAAGCAGCGATAGTCCCGGATAAGTTCATCCTGTGACCGCCGCCGAGTGCTGTGTCTTGTTACGTTAATTTAACCCTTTAGTCGATAGTTTTCCACCATCAAACTGAACGTTTTGCTGCTAAAATATAATTTGTAAATGGACAAGAGCAGATTTTACTAATATGACCTAATTTGGAGAGTATAACAAAGGATTGTACGCTATGAGACGAAACGCGTAGAAGGGACTTGTTTTCGGTTGAAAATGCTATGCCTGTAAAATTTGCCGCATATTAAAACTGTAAATGTTTTCACTTTTCTCTGCAGATACAAAATTTGATTGTAGATAGTGAGCTTATAAATATTACTATTTAAAAAAGGAATCGAATCAAATAGCAGTAACAGATTATAAAATATATGGGCTTATATTCTATCTAATCGTTGTAGCCAGGTAGCCTATAAAAATCCATATTATTATTGCCACATAAAAAACTGGCAATCAATCTACACAAGAGTGAAAACTTGCTAGTTGCTGACCTCGGTCACTATTCAGTATTGGCTTCGATTCCTTTCAGGGAAATCCACTGCATAAATCTAATATCAATATAAAATAAGTATTATTGCTAAATCATCAGTAGACACTAATGTCTATATATATAGAGTTATTTATTATACCATGTTTGCAAATTGCGGAAATACTATAAAATAGTTTTCTCAGTTATTTTCTTGCTTTATTATACCAGATACAACGAAACATATCTAAATATAGCTCCAAAAGCTTTTTAATAAGGGAATCCCCATTGTTTCGAGGGTAAATTCGTTATTATTACTACTAAACCAAATGATGGGTGGAACCGGGCTATCAATTATCATTGCGCTTTTTCCTATTATTTAAAGATTAAAATAGAACGTTTAAAAAGATGTAGAACAGACATAGTAAAGTTGTCATTATTATATGTAGGTACATGGAAGCAATCAGCCGCCCTTTAAAGAGTGCGGAAAAGGGTAACATTATTAATGTAAACTTCTATAAATCATTATTATTATTACTAAGCCCACAGCATAGTTATACATATATCCACAAGTAGGATAAAATTAATCAATTAGCCCCTGGCGGAGATGCACTGGTTGATTACCTCGGCGAGGTGCTTGTTCTCCAATGCGGCTGCCACTCTTTCCTTATCCGCCAGTTGCTTATTGACCGCCTGCTCGGAGGCGTGGGTTCCGGGTGTAATCTCCACGGTGACCTTGAAGCGGGGTGGCAGCGAACGGAGCAACTTCACCCGGATGGACAGGCCAATCAAAGTGGCCATCGAGCAATGCGGAATCGTTGGGGTGAAGCTGATGTGCACGGAATTCTGGGCATCGCTAATGCGGATTAGGTCCTCCTGCACCACATGCAGTTCCTCCAAGGTCAACGGATGCTCAGGGTCATTGATATTCTTTATGAGATCTGGGTAATACCATTTATAAGACAGTTTCCCAACTATTTTCCTTGATCTCACCGAAAATCTCTCGCTTGTCAAAGGGATCAGCTACATTTTCGTCCTCATCGTTGGCCGTCAAAACTCGTTCCTTGATCTTGTCATAGACATTGGGGTTTATATTCTCGATTTCAGTTGGCATTTTGATTTGTTTACTTTTATTTTCCCTTATTTACACGTTTTTTGGAAAAATGGACGAACAAAAAACCAAAATACAGACCAGTGTGTCCCTATTGTTAGAATGGATAATGTACCAAATTACACCACTTTCAATTTTAAGGTGTGTAGACACTTTTTGGGCGCGTAATTTATTTGAATTTAAAATTATTTCATTTATATTATTTATGTGATTATTAAGCAATGAATTAACTATAAGTTTCATCAGACACCCTTTAAGTAGTGTTAAATTTATTACAATTGACTTGTTAGCCCTTTTTTAATAAAACCGAAGCTAATCATGTCAACATGCACAACACAAAAACTGCCCGAATGATTTATTTGAATTTAAATAGGATATTAATTCAGGGCAATTAATAGTTCAATCAAATCAACGCGATTCTCGGGAAGTACAGTACCAGGAAAACGCCATCCAATTGATATGTTTACCTGTCAACTTACGTAAAAGGCGTAATTACAGACGCCCCGCGATCCATATTTATGTGCTCTTCAAATTAGCTGCGGGAATACTTAACTTAAGTTAACCAAGCTTAACTTAACTTTTTTGCAAGCCAGTGCTAAATAGCCGGCAGATGTGGATCCGTGCATGGCGCTGAAATGACTAAGCCTTGAGCCCATTTCGCCGACCAAACCCGCTTTAGTTTCTATATTTTTATTCCATATTCAGCTTTTTCGAGAAGCCGGCGCACTTGACTGCGATTTCCTCGGGTTATAATTAGCCCGACTTATCAATATCAACGTGGAAACGCAGTCGTCGCCGGTGAGATTTACATAGCGAACGGGTTCCGTGCATTGGCGTGCATCTATTCGCAATTAGCACCGAATTACAAACTGGTTAGCATCCACTTCCAACAAATCGGAGAAGCCTCCGATCCGTGGAGCTCATAAAATGGGTTCGCCCCATGCTTGGAGCAGCAGTTTGGGACCCATTTCCAAGCAGTCAACATGAAGTCAGTTGTAAGTTGAGATCTCGGTTTTCTTAAAGTCTCGACCATAAATTGATTACTCTAACTATAAACAGAAGTTTTGGTGAACGAAGAAGTTTATCCTGTCTAAAATTGCATAGTGTTTGGTTATACAATTCTAAAGATTTTTGGATGTTATTTTGATGTTGGAAAACCTGATTGATCATTTTTAAGTTGCAAACATAAAACACATGGAAACTCGAAAAGAATATAACATCAAAAACGTCTCAGTTTCAAGATAATAGTTCTTAAATAATACATTTTTTTTTGGTTTTTAGATTATTTTCTTAGCCCTGGTGGCTCTTTGCCATGCAGCACCTTTGGAAGTCAAGGAGTCGTCGGCCGAAACGCTCTCCAGACCCAGTCCCATCAGTCCCGATGTGATTGTTGATCCCAAGCCCACCGAGAAGGTGGTCCTGCTGAAGGATATTCCCGCTCCTAATCGTCAGAAGCGTAATGAGCCCAAAAAACCCGACAGCGTAAAAGCCCATGAGCTTCTCCAGCCTAATCCCCATAGCCAGAAGCCCACTCCAGCCAATCCTCATGAGAAAGCTGGCCCACATGATGCCAAGGCTCACGACCACAAGCACAAGCGGGAGGCTCATCACGAGGAGGGACACAAGGAGGAGCCCCAAGAGGAGGAAGTAAAGGGTGCTCCCGAGGTGCCTGCACCTCAAATAGGTGTTGTCGAGAAGAAGAAGGAAAAGCGCGAGGCCCACCACGAGGAGGGTCACAAGCAGGAGGACAAGCCCCAGGTGGAGGATCTTTCATCCACCCACGCTGTTCCCGCTCATGCCCACACCGCCGAGTTGCCCAAGAAGAAGGAGAAGCGGGAGGCCCACCACGAGGAGGGTCACAAGGAGGAGGCTAAGCCCCAGGTGGGAGCACTGCCTCATGCTCTTCCTGCTGATGCTCCAACCGCTGAATTGCCCAAGAAGGAGAAGCGTGAGGCTCACCACGAGGAGGGTCACAAGGAGGAGGCCAAACCACAGGTGGGGGCACTGCCTCATGCTCTTCCTGCTGATGCTCCAACTGCAGAGTTGCCCAAGAAGGAGAAGCGGGAGGCTCACCACGAGGAGGGTCACAAGGAGGAGGCTAAGCCCCAGGTGGGTGCACTGCCTCATGATCTTCCCGCTGATGCTCACACCGCAGAGCTGCCCAAAAAGCAGGAAAAGCGCGAGACTGTGGAAAAGCCCGCCAGCGTGAAGGCCCGTGAATCCATCCAGCATAATCCTCAGCATGCCGATGAGCTCCACAAGGCTCTCGAATCCCTGGCCGCAGGAAAAGCCCCGGAGAAGCGTCAGCAGCGCGACATTCCCGTGCCCACTCAGACCAAAGCCACCGCCGATCCTACAGCCACCACAAAGTCGGAAGTTGGAAGCACCACTCCGTCCACCCATAATCTGCACATTCCCCATCCCATTCCCGTGGCCGAACTCTTCGAGAAGAACAAGCATTCGGATAAGTCCACTTCCAGTTCCGAAGAAAGCAAGGAGAGCAAGGAGAAAGTCAAGGCCTAAACTTTATAAACCAAAAGTCGCTAATTGAACCATCACGAGATTTGTAGTCACAGAAAACGAACTAAAATAAACAACAATATTTACATGCTTATATAAAAAGACTGTGTGTTAATTAATCAACAAATATTTAGGGAAATGGAAATCAAATAAAATGGTTTTTAGCACCATCAATTATTAGAAAAGAAAATGGGTCTTGGTTTTACTGTTTAGCATTAACTAACAACAGATTAGCGCATTATTATCAATTTTAAGTGCTGTCAGAATAAATTACAACTGTCTGGACAACGTCGATGTAGAGTAGTTACAAAATTTTTTATAAGCTAAAAGAATTGGAAGTTTCAAGGCCAAATATTGTTTTTTGAATATGTTATTATTGGCGCCTTTTAGCTAATAAATCACCAAAAAACTGTGGGTTAAACAAATTACATTTCCGACTATATATTTTAGACCAAGGTACCCCCTGGAACTTTTTCTCATAATAAATATTTATATGAATACTTAAACAAAATTGTATCGACAATTTTATTCTACTGCGTAACGCCTCAGGCTTCCCCGTATAAATTAGATCAATTTTACGACGTGGAACTCGTAAAAAAATTGTACGTTTACATAAGCAACTCTACGCTAATTATTCACTAAATATTTATGGGTTTCATCTAGCTAATAGTCATGGTATACATTACTCCGACGTTTAAGGTATCACAAAAATAAAAATAAACATCAAGTATAAGCAATAAAAAGTGATGGGTTGGTTTGGTTTTTTCCATTCAATCTGTAACTTGCAATTATACCAAATACATTAAATGTAATTGCAAAACCAAATAGAAATGTATAAAAAAGATCTACGCATTAGTAATATTTTAGATGCATTGAGTGGAAATGTTATCACCTGAAAACTAGTATTGTTTAACGAAGTTTATAAAAATATATTTGGATTTTCTACAGGCAGAGAGATCAGGAAATAACCCGATCTCAAAATGGTAATTAATATTTCCGATAATGACAGTTTAATGTAAAAGCTTAAGCAAACTATATTTCTTCCTAACTACTTACTAAATTGTGAGCTATCTAACTAGTTAATTCCGGCTCCTCTACTGTTTCATCCTGAGATTTTCCGAAGTAATCATCCGATTTGTAGATCTCCACAGGTTGATATTCATCTTCGATGAGGTTGGATCGCGGCACAGAATTGGATGTTGCGGTATCGCTGGCACTCAACTTGGCTTTCAGGGGTTTTAGGAGAAGGCCTTTGAGGCTATAGTCCGTGACATGGAGTTCCTCCTCAGCTATATCCACATTTCTTTCGACTTCTAACAAATTTGCACTCACAGCACCCACAAATTGCTCCAGACCATCGATTCTAGTTTTTAACTGCTCGAAGCTGTCTCCAAATCCCAGGATACTGCACACATTATTGGCCATCATTCCATTAGACTCGGCGCGCACCTAAAAGTCAATAAACCATTAATAGATTTCACTAAATTTATGGAAAATAACTCACCGAACCCAGCAAAGTTTCAAACTCATCTAATCTGGTCATCATATCATCTATATTAGTGCACAGTGGGTTTATCTCCTTCTCCAGATCAGCGCTCTGCAGGATCTTGGCATAATCCCGGGAAACGTTATTAATATCAGCTTGCATTTTTCAACTTTTTAACCAATATTTGTAAACAAAATCAACAATTGTTTTCTTTATCGCCCCTAACAGTGTGTGCACACCAAGGAAAGGGGAAATGGTGCCAATAGGAATTTTTGTTATCGATATAAATTCGAGGATTGTGTCTTCGCTAAATCAGGGTAATGTATTGGCTAAATCAAAGAATTGAACGAATTATCGATAGCGCCACAATTTCAATTAAAAAAATGCGGGAAATGTCCAGACTTTCTTTATTTCTTATCCTTAGAAGCTAAAGTTAAGCAGAAAGTATTAATTGGTAATAAATAGTTTTTGGAGAACTTGCAGTGCTGAGTTAATAATACAAGACATGCAGAGCAAGAGCTGTTTTTAAAATATTCTCCCGAGACCAAAAGAATCGATTCAAAATTCATCGATATTTGCAGAGCGACCGTTTGAAATATTTTCGGTATATTTATAAAAATGGTATAAAAAGTATTTTTCCCAGATCTGGACTGTATAATTTATCGCATTCACGCTGCTCATCACTATTATTGATTAAAATTTGTTGGCTTGGAGCACCCGGAATTGGAGCACCGAATAGGAGCACAATGAGCGGCTACCGAGGCATCGGAGGCGGGGGCTTCCCCTACCGCAAGCCAGTTAGTTCCGGCAACAACATGAACGCCGTGCCCCCACCCCCCATGTTGAATGTGCGGGGCTATGTGGGCCCCCGAGGAGGTGCATCCATATCTGGAGGAGCGGCCCGCGGTGGGCTTACGGGGAGTGCGCCGACTACATCGACTTCCAAGCACGGCTACTCCACCTTGGACTCCATCAGTCAGTACACCAACGCAACGAATCTGGTGGGCAAGAGGAAACACCACACGGACGACGATTACTTTGACGACGACGATGAGCCCCGGGAAAAGGAAATGGAGCAGGCGTACATACCCGCACCTGGATCCCCGGGAGCACCAAGCCCCCCAGCCAAAAAGCAAGAGGAATCCGACTCGGACGAGGATCCGCTGGAGCAATTCATGGCAGGTATTAACCAACAGGTGGAGAAGGAGAAGCGCCAACAGGCCCCCAAGCCTCCAACTCAGGCCGTAAGGGGCGACATCGATGACGAGGACGACGAGGAGAGCTACTATCGCTACATGAAGGAGAATCCCAATGCCGGACTCCGCGACGAGGGATCTGACCCGGAAATTGAGTACGACGAAGACGGCAATCCTATTGCTCCTCCCAAGAAGAAGGAAATTGATCCCCTGCCGCCCATCTACCATTCCGAAATCGAGTACGAACCCTTCGAGAAGAACTTCTACACGCAGCATGAAGATATAGCTGCCCTGGATGAGGAACAGGTGCGGGAATTAAGGCGCACTCTGGGCGTGAAGGTGACGGGGCCTTCGCCACCCAAGCCAGTAACCTCCTTTGGTCATTTCGGTTTCGATGAGCAGCTCATAAAGGCGGTAAGAAAAGCGGAGTACACACAGCCCACTCCTATACAAGCTCAAGCTGTGCCCACCGCCCTATCCGGCAGAGATATCATAGGCATAGCCAAGACGGGTTCCGGCAAAACAGCAGCCTTCATCTGGCCCATGCTGATGCACCTGATGGATCAAAGGCAGCTCAAACCAGGCGATGGACCTATAGGTCTTATCCTAGCACCCACTCGCGAGCTCTCGCTACAAATCTACAACGAGGCCAAGAAGTTTGGCAAGGTCTACAGCCTGAATGTAGTCTGCTGCTATGGCGGTGGCTCCAAGTGGGAGCAGAGTAAAGCCCTGGAGCAGGGAGCTGAGATTATAGTGGCCACGCCCGGACGAATGATTGATATGGTCAAGATGAAGGCCACCAATCTGAGAAGGGTGACCTTCTTGGTGCTCGACGAAGCCGATCGCATGTTCCACATGGGCTTCGAGCCCCAGGTGCGCTCCATCTGCAATCACGTGCGCCCAGATCGCCAATGCCTGATGTTCTCTGCCACCTTCAAGAAGCGTATCGAACGTCTGGCCAGGGATGTGCTCACCGATCCTGTGAGAATAGTACAGGGAGATCTGAACGAGGCCAACCAGGACATTACTCAGTCCGTCTATGTCTTCCCCAATCCCCTGCAAAAGTGGAATTGGCTGTTGTGCCACCTGGTGAAGTTCCTTTCCGAAGGCAGCGTCCTAATTTTTGTGACCAAAAAAGCAGATGCCGAAACTGTTGCGAATAATCTGTTGCTAAAGGAACATAATTGCCTATTACTCCATGGCGATATGGATCAAGCGGACAGAAATAAGGTAATTACACAGTTTAAGAGGAAGGAATGCGACATCCTAGTGGCCACTGATGTGGCAGCCAGAGGTTTGGATATACCGCATATCAGGAATGTGGTGAATTATGATATCGCCAGGGACATTGACACTCACACGCACAGAATTGGACGAACTGGCAGAGCTGGCGAAAAGGGTAATGCTTTCACTCTAGTTACCGACAAGGACAAGGAGTTCGCCGGTCATCTGGTGCGGAACTTGGAGGGCGCCGACCAGCTGGTGCCCGACGATCTAATGGAGCTGGCCATGAAAAGTTCCTGGTTCCGCAGTTCGCGATTCAAACAGGGCAAAGGGAAGAGGCCGACGAATACCCACACAGGATTGGGTTATCGGGAGAGAGGAAATGGCGGTGGTTTCGGGTCGGCTGATGGCTCGGAATCTGGCACCAGTGGATCTGTCCATAGTCCAACTGAAGGACCCTCCAACAAATCCTCTTCCAGCGCAGGACCTGCTACCGATCGCTATGCAGCCATGCGGGAGGCCTTCCGATCGCAGTATAACAACCAATTTCGAGCCTCCAGCGATCGGACCTGGGAGAAAACTCTGCCAGATTCCGGAGTTTTTGCTGCGCCAATGGCACCTCCATCATCATCCCAAGGAGCCCCCTCCTCGTCCAGCAGCAGCAGCAACCAGGACGCCAAAAGGGCCAAGAAGAGCCGCTGGAATTGAACGAAGGTGCCCAATAAACTGACGCTGCTCTTTGGTTTATTTCTCTTCATATTATTTAATGTGTATTTGCTTTTGTTCCATCGTTTAAAATTACAGCTTATGGACTAAATTTAAACATATTATATATAATCAGATATATACCATGTTCATTCATAAAGATTACGTTAGTTAAATACTCGTATGTACAACTCTCTTCCTTCGCAGCCAGTTCCAGCGAACGATCCCACAGATCCAAATAAAAATCTTTATTAATTGTAATCATGGTTATGTGTATTTTATTTTGAATAAAATCACATTTGCGCATCCCAACTGCCTATCGATATTGTTAATCGTTAATCGTGTCGTTTTTCATTAAGCGAGAGAAGAAATCGAACTGGAATATCGAAATCTTGAAGCTAAATTGTTCGTTAATCATTATGAAATATTGTTTTACAATGAAACCACTACGAATTTTGTTTCTTTTTCGCTTTTGGATATACGTGTTTATATAATAATTTAATTACGTGTGTTCTTGATAACATTGAGAAGAGATTGAGATTCATTTAACTACCACATCGATGCGATTTTGCGTAAATTTTCGAGTTTTCTTTCGTTTTGTTAAGCGCTGAACGGGGAATTAGCCTGGGCAAAGCTTAAAAATTTCGCTATATTTGAATATCATATCAGATACGTACATGAATATATATATTTTTCGTTATATATAGTTCGCATATATACTCTATTCAAAGACTCGTCGGTGTGTGGGTGTTATACATATATATTTGTATATAAAAATTGGTCCATGTTAACCACATCGTACGAAACTTATAGAGGAACTCAAGACGGAACTGAAGGGAAACTCCAAAATAAAAAGGGAATTGTGTGGGGAAATAAAACGCAAACAAAATCATAACACTCTAATTTTAGTTTTGAAATACTTTTTGTTTTTTTCATTTATTATTATCATTATTTAAATGTATTAATTAGCTTTGTGTGTGTGTTTTTTGGGGGAGGGGTTGTGTTTTTTTTTGTTGCCGCATATATAACATACATATCCATATATACAATATATTTTAGATCTAGCATTAAATTTGATTTACACTTTTAATAGTTTGTTTCTCTCTTCCGCTAATTATGCAGTTTTGTTTTGTCACTTAATTATACACATTTACTTTCTGTTCGTTAAAGTTAATAATTCTTAATATTTTCTCCGCTGTTCTGTTAAATTTCGTTTATCATTTACCGAGCTAAATCAATTACTTTTTATATGTAGATAGGCTTTAAAAAATAATTAAAATTATGCAACAATTAAAATGTAAATGTTTTCATTTTATAAATGTAATAAAATTGTTGGGATTTCACTTGTATGTATTTTGTATCTCTCATTTAATTCGCTTTTGTTTTTCTTTGCTCATGCTTGTTTTGTTGTTGCTGATTTAACTCTCTCTTTTTTATATTTTTAATACTTTGTAAATGAACAAGAAACATTTTGCAACAAAAGTCTGGGATAAGGCAAACAAAAAATGTAATTTTCAAGTAAACGAACAAAGGACTTTCTGCTGCATTTTAAATTCGTAAATTTCATTGAAGGAATTTTCATGCTCTGAACTGAATTGATTGTTTTTCATTTTTTTATATGGTATAATGACTGTTTGTTATTTTTTTACGCTTTTTGTGTGTGTGTGTGTATTTTTTTTCGATTTTTATGGGTGTTTTTTGTCAGTTAGCTTTAAATTAAATGCCAATTAATTTAATTAATTAATTTTTAAATCACATTTCATTGTTTTTCAACACGGGCAAATTCAAATTTCCGCTTCGATTTCTCATCCAGTGTGTTGTTTGTAATAGTTTATCCATTTTTGTGGTTTTACTTGTTGCTGCTGTTGGTTTGTGTGAGGAAACGAAAATGTTTGTTGAAGTACGCGACTTGCTTCTAGTGCACATTTCATTAAAATTAATAATACTATATACAATTTATGGTATTTCTGCCATTTCAATTCTCCAACTCTCTCTCTGTCAGCTTTTTTGGGCCTTGATTTAACATTTCGCCATTTATTTTGATTAGGTCTAGTCGAATAACGTGGCCAGCAAATCGTCGCTGGCATTGTTGTTGCTGCTGCCACTCGAGGGCGGAGTGTTAAGATCGGGC